ACGCAGAATCTTGTCCGATCTTAGTGTCCGATTCTTCACCCTGAGTTGTGGAATAATTTCGTCTGATCGTACAAAATCCTACTGATAGATCATACTGGAAAATTACTGTAATCATTGATGCAAGAAATCAGAGAGCACGATTTTTCGTACGATTTTCCGTATAATCTTGTATGATCATGTAAGATGATGATTTAAGATCGGATATGAACATACAAGAATCTGAACCTGATCTTAGCGTCTGATTTGTTAACCTGGGCATTTAACGCTGATAGTTCTTTCTCTGTTGTTAAATTATTACAAGCAGTCAGCACGATTGCAGGACGACTGTACGATATTAGTTTCTGGCTTGAGACTAGTCCGTTTTCTCGTGGTAATGCTTCTGTGTATGTGAGTGCGTGATGCATGAAGAGTTCCTTGTTAGAGAACTTTTTATTGTTTATCCAACAATAGTAGTTAGTTGAGACCATGCAGGTCATTTCCAGCTGAAAAACTCAGAAGAATAGTAAGAAATTAGAAGGAGATATCCAGTAGTTAGCTAAGATTGGAACTAGAAAAATGCTGTTATTGGATTTTTACTTCCAAGCTCCTATCATTTTGGCTAGTTTTCCGGTCGCTGAAATCATTGAACTAATTACACAAGCTTTTATAAAATATCTGAAATAACAATTGTAACTCAATCAATTTGTAGAAAATTATGTTCGAATGCAGTGATTTCTTTTTTCAAGCAGTTGTCTCATTAATTCTACAAATATACATTTGTTAAAAAAAATAAAACATTGAATACAACTTTAGTGTCTTCAAGAAATATAGTTTTAAACGAATAAAGAAAGAAGACAAATTGGTATAAGTGAAAAACAAAAGGATTATAAGAGCATGTTGTAGGCATGCTTATACAAGCAGTTAGCAGCAAATAGACATCTGCAACTACACTCACACCCACTATGCGAGTATGGTTGGAGAAGAGACCATGGAAGTTTTATCTGCCATATTATTCCTCAGGCACGAAATGTATTGTTGGGTGGGGCTTAATTTAACGCGTCAAAGCAAAAGTTATCGAAAGATACCACTTAAAGCATGAATAAGGCAAAGAAGGTCTGTTGATGACATGTGACCAAGGGGGAAAAAACTCATTCGCGGGCATTCGAATGGATGAGAATGAATGGAATGAATGAGAATGGACGCGAATGGATGAGAATGGAAGAGAATGAATGAGAATGGACGGGAATGNCTGATTATTCCGATCCAGTCTCCTTCATTCCCGTCCATTCTCATTCATTCTCTTCCATTCTCATCCATTCGCGTCCATTCTCATTCATTCCATTCATTCTCATCCATTCGAATGCCCGCGAATGGATGAGAATGGAAGAGAATGAATGAGAATGGACGGGAATGAAGGAGACTGGATCGGAATAATCAGAGAAATTCAGAAGTAATTTCATGTAGTACAAAATTAGCTATATTAACTATTGAAATGTTAAGAGCATGTAACTTACTAAATATGTTCAAACATTTTGTTTACATAATAAATCTTTTTAACTTATTAAATAGCATTACTTACTCTAGAAATATTCGGACATGTGTGATATTCTACAAATATCATCATAAGTATTTACCCATATAATAATGAGATATTATGCTTTTTTTCGTTACATTATAATGTGTAAAGGCAAATAGTAAAAAAGATTTACTATGAACATGCTGAAAGAAAAAATGTCGAAGGCAAAAACGTTGAACAAAAAAATTCGAAATAAAAAAACGTCGATCATGTAACATATCGAAACTTCTAACATGTCATTATTGACCAGTATTGATTTGCTTTCCTATCATATTTCTTGTGTTTTCTACCGTATTTTCCTTTTATCGAATGATTCATTCTTTTAATACTCATTTGTCATTTTCAATTAACGTATTTTTCCTTTTTTTCAATCAAATCAAATAAATATTTTATATTTATCATCCAACATAATTTTTCATTGATTCGACATTTTTTTCATTCGATCTTTTTTCTGTCGCCTTTTTTTCGCTCGATGTTTTTTTTGACATCTATTTTTTGACGTTTTTTTCGATTTTTTTCCCTCGACATTTTTCTTTCAACGTTTTCAACACATGCCGCAAAAAAGCATGAAAATACAAATTTGATTCAAAAAAAAATCTTTTTTCAATATTATATGTATTTTTAATTTGGTTGTGATAAGGTAGTGGAGACAAGCAAGATATCAATTAATAGCACAAAAAAAAACGAGATAAATATTATCTATTTGACAGAAATCACACATAAAATGCTATTAATTTGCCGGACTAACTATTAAGGTGTAACAAAGTTTTCTTCAAAGAAAAAAAATATATTTGTCACTCCAAATAGGTTCCGTTTATTTATAATAAAAATGAAAATGAAGGTAAATTGGTGGAAGATTAGCAAAATTCCATTTATTGTTAGTCATGTTAAAAGCATATATCGTGTAAAGAAGGATAGGAAAAAACAAACATATATATATATATATGCATGTTATATCATATTATGTGCATCGTATAAATTATTTCATCATGTGTAACATTAATTGAACGGGTGAACGTTATTTTATTTTTTCTAGAGATATGAATTTTTTCATACATCACGTGTTTTCAATTTGAAAATACATTGATATCTCTTTTTTTCTTATTTGTTAGACATAAAACAGTGACTGAGAAAAAAATGTCGATATAAGAGAAAATAAACGACATTTACCATTTCACATATCTGCAAGTTGTTTGTAAATAAAATCAATGGCAACCTATAATTTATATCATTTACCGGATGATGTTCTGTTTTTATCAAATGATAATTTTTATAATTTTGTTGCACAAGTATGTGGAAAAGTTGAAGCTGAACTTTTACAAATTCAACGTATACGAAATGCACGATCTTTGATTCGATCTACAAATTTATTTTCGATTCTTGAAATTGATTGTGATGAAATTGATAAATTAAAACAAAATCTTTGTTTTACATCTAAAGATGGAAATCATATTATCAGACAAGGTGTGAAGCTGAACTTGGATAATTTATATGATGTATTGAAGGAAAAACAAGAAAAATTTTTAAAAAAGCGACGGCAACAAGAACTATTATGTTCAATTTCAACATTACAAACAACAAATACAGGTGTAAATGATAATAATAATAATAATTTAACTACACAAAATCTTGTAGTAAACGTTACAACAGATTCAAATTTATCATCTTTACAATGTAGATCAATAAATGATCATGCAATTTTTATAAAAGATTTAATAGAAAAATTTTCATTTAAAACATTTACATCAACTATCTTGAAAAACGATGAACATTATCAATTGATAATTACACAAGATGGACAAAAATTCAAAGCTATTATTAAATGTCAATGTGGTGCAAAATTAATATTACCATCTCGTTCTGGAACATCAACATTCATTTTATCTAATTTTTATGCTCATTCAATAACATCAAATTGTTCTATGGCTGAACGAATTCGAAAACAGGAGAAAAAGACAACTGATAAAGAAACAGCTGCTCAACCATTATCAATTTCAGATTCACAACTACCAACACCGTCTTCTAGCCATAATAGTTCTGTTATTACAAATTCTTCAAAAAGAATACATAATGATATTCGATCTGAAATAAATAAAAATTCAAGTAAAAAACAAAAACGATAAATTAAAAGATATGTTATATATCAGATCAAAAAAGGTTTTTTTATTAGAGTTATTTATTTTGTAGATTGTAGCTGTGTAATTTTTTGAATATATCATGTTCTTATATGTATTTGCAAAAGTTATATGAATAAAATAAATAATATATTGAATAGATAGTTGTAGCTAAATAAATTCCTTGATCGATTTAACGGCATACTCAAAGATATTTTATTCACCATCTTGTCAACAAATTATATGCATAAAAGCTTTTTTGTTTGGCTGTCATACGAAATTAATTCTTGTTGCCTTTTTTTTTGTATTTAATTATTCATAAATATTATTTAGAGAAAAAAAATTGTTTCAGATATGAATAATAACGATTATTGTGAAATTAGTAACATCAAATTTGATGGTTTTTATGATCTTATACAAGAATTGACTAGTGATATTGAAGTTGAAATATTAAAAGCACAAGGAACTAATAATGTTCTTGCTTTATTACGAGCAAAAGATTTAGATTCAATTTTTCAAATTGGTTGGGAAGAACTTGATGATTTGAAAAAACGTGCTTGTTTAAAATTAAAAAGTGGTGAATATATAATTCGACCAGCTATATAAAAGAAAATCTTGATTATTGTGTAAATGTCTTGAGAAATAAATTACCTGAGCAACAATTACAATCTCAATCAAGATTAGAACAAAATAAACAAAATTTAGATATAAAACAAGACAATTTTATGAATACGTTTATTAATAATTTAAATGACAATATGCATCGTTCTAAACATCGCTATATTTACAATATTCATGTACGACGATTTGCATCATCTGTGTGTGGATTAGGTGGTCGAAATTTATATGAATTTTTAAGATTAAATTTGCCAGAAGCATTTCCATCTATACCAACATTAGAATCTTATAGTAATGGATATTGTACACGTATTGAAGAAGGCAAATTTCGTTTTACAGAATTAGTGAATTATTGAAATAAAATTAATTGTTCATTTGTTTATTCTTCTGAAGATTCCACCAGTGTCATCAGCAAAGTACAATATGATATTGAAAGTAATTCTTTTATTGGTTTTTGTGTGAAATTGGTGAATGGTTTACCTTTAACTCGTCAATATCAAACAGATAATTTTACAGAATTGGAAAATTGGTTTGAAACAGCTAATCAAGCAACATTAGTAAATATTAATACTGTTCAACCAATAACAAATGTAACATCACCATCATTTCTTTTATCTGGTTTTGGTACAGATAATTCATATGATACTATTTCAATAATTTGTCGTTGGCTATATGTCTATGAACAATGTCAAACTCATAATATTCGAGTCGTAGGATTTGCTAGTGACGCAGATCCCAAATACCTCAGAGCTATGAGATTAGCTACTGGTTAGTTTTATTACATAAAATATCATTTTTCAAATGTATTTTGTATATTTAAGGTTATTTTGCACAACTTCCAAACATTAATCTATTAAATCGAGATGATATATTTAATATACAAATTCCAAAGTCATGGTCATCATGGTTTTTTTTACGATCAAAACAATTGTTTGTTTGTTTTCAAGACCCGATTCACATTTGCACTAAATTAAGAAACAGATTGTTATCTAAGTCAGCAGCATTATTTATTGGTTCATACAGAATTGCTGCAAAAGATCTTCAAGATCTCATACAAGGTGAATCGAAATTAGATCATGGATTAGTTTTATCTGATTTATATGTAAAAGATAAACAAAATTATTCATCTTGTGTCAAAATATCATCATTAAATATTTTAAACATGTTGGAAAAAAATTAAAAAAACATTAGGAACACAATGTTACTTAACTATTTTACACTTCGTAACACTTGCTTATATTGATAAGTCAAAAAATGTGTTAGAGAGATTATTTTATTCATGGTCTATAGTCTTTATTTCGAGATTTTGGTGGATATGGTTGAAATATAAACTTTCAACTCAAACTCAACAACCATCATCAAGAAAAATTGAAGAACATTTTATGACGTATTCATCATTTTATTCAATTGAATTAAATGCGCATGTTTTTACTTATATAGTATTACTAGTATTACACAAAATATTACCTGCTGAATCATTAAATATTTTCTTGTTCAGTTCTCAACCATGTGAGAACATGTTCAGGAGCGCGAGAGCGCTAACCGGATCATTTTCATCAATCACAAATTTTCCACTTCAACAGTTTTTTTCTAAAACTAGAAAGATTTCGATCTTGAATGAAATAAAATCAACTGAAGAATTTAGTAATGATTCAAATAAAATAAAATTTCCAAAACACCATAAACAAAATAAAGATAATTCATTACCATTAAAATTAAACAATTTAGATAATATAACATTAAATGAAATTGAAAAAAGTATCAAGGATGCATTTGAATATGCGAAATGTTTCACTGAAAAATTAGATATGTTATCACTTTTAAAGAAGAACAATGAATTTGAATTAAATACTTTATGTGCACGTATAAAAGATGATTTAAATAATATGATATTTGTTACAGATTATTCTGAACTGGATAGTGATGATGATAATGATTATTTAAATGTGGAACAAACATCTGATCTAGTAGATAACCATGTCGATAGTGAAGAAGAATATATAGATGCAGAAAATGCCTGTACAACTTCGAAAAAAGATAATTACAATGGCATACAAATATATTCTGCTGTTTCTGATCAAGATAAAAATAAATTTTTCAAAATAAATATTAATGGAATCGACAAATTCATACATAAGCAAACAGCAGCTTGGTATTTAACAAAAAAAAATCATTTATCATCTGATAGACGAGTACGTGTTCAACAAACGAACAAACAAAAAAATTAATAATTATCTTTTTTTTTGTTCAATTTCGTTGGCTATTTGTCATAAGTAAAAAAATGCATTTTTTATATTCAATAAAATGCTTCTTTTTTGTGACATTTAACATAATCTTTTTCGAGATAGAAGACAGACTTTTTTTGATTATATTATATTAGAAATATTTAAAAAGTTTCTGAACGTATTCATCGATATTTTATCTATTTCAATTCAAAATATTACTTACACTTTAATGTAAAAAGTTACAATGCCATTAAAAACTGAATATTATATGTTAATTCAATAAATCTTCTATTTCATTTTGAATATATAAATATTACTAAACAAGAACCACTACGAATTGCGATGATTAATATACATTATTTAAAAGGATCTAAAGTTTTTTATTTTACTACTAATAATACGAAAAAAGTTTGAAATAGTTT